ACATACATATTCTCAAATGATCGTATATGCCTCAACTAGTCGATCGACCCGTCATACATTAAATTCTCCCGAGAGTTGGTTGGTAACGCTGATTCCAAGATTACCCTCGAGAAGGGATGTCCTCGAGCTCGATCCACCTGTCTGTCATCCACTTTGTCTTGCAACTGACACAACTGCTCTACCATCTTTTCCAATGCCCGCTCTCTCGGGGTTCAATTTCATCTAAAGCTCAATGTGTCCTCCTTCGTGTTTTGCTGATGTGCACCCACCACCGTGGCCGACGCGGTAGCCAAATGCGAGGTATGGTGTGTGGCCTGCTGCATCACGCCCACTGCGATCGCGTTAACAACCATCCTCTCCATCTCTTAACCTGGTCATTATCACCAATTGCTAACCGACTCGCTCCTCATCTGCCCTGGTGGCCCCACCGCCTGCACCACCCCTCCAACTGGTTGAATCTCAGCCTAATCTGTTTGTGGCTGCGCATGCACCACTGCTTCATGCTGCGCTCGAACCTCCTGCACCCAGTGTGAGCCTACCTCAGCTACAGGAATCGTCGATGAACTCCCAAAGCCTTGAGAAAGAGGCATCTGGGTCGTCGGAGTTGTGGAAGGTTTAGAGAGCCCAGATGAGAGCCAACTTCGAATGGACGCTTGGTTGTTCACGCATCATCAAACATAGTTTTTAGATTTCTTCTCGGGATTTCTTCTGCCATGGTTATGATGAACACAAGCTCTTGGAGTCCCACAGATGGCGCCAAATAGTGTAGTAAAGACCCTGACTGTCTCGAATGAGCTAAAAACGTCTGAATTTCAAGTTGGTTGCCGGTTGAATATCCTCGAATCTGCATAACTCTCACATCAGAGGGGATGTCCAGTGAAGAGACTCTGATGCTTAAGTTAGTAGTTGAAGAAGATGAAGTGCTATATGGAAGTGTAGTAGAGAATATCTTGTGTCTCAAAGCTTACCTCACTCCCTTATATAGGGAGATGATACCTTAGGACCCAAGCCGGGTGAGTGAGCTCCCCGATAAAAAGTGCGTGACCTACCTTAGTTGTTAGAGCTGTGAAATGCATCAGGGTTGTCAAATATAGTTATGAGACGTGGACCAATCTGGTGGTGCCACGTGGTTTTGCCTATGTGGGGGTTTAGTTTCCATATGAATCCTTCTTATCCCTTTAGTTCTCTATATTAGATGGTATAATCCTGCACTTGTCCTTAATTACCTCGAGATGAGTCGTTATGTTCATCTGGTCGATCCCTCGACCAAATGCTCTTTCAATGTTTGTTGCGACCAGGCCCTCCGGGGGCCTCTACTCGGCCTGTTAGTGTTCTTTACACCTTCATTGTCTCTTTCGACCCGAGTGTCTTTTGACATGAGGAATCTTCATCCTTCATTCGACCCGATGACCAATCTAGGTTAGTTCGGTTGTCTCTCCAGTCCAGTCTACCTGTGTGGTTATCCTATATCACTATACATCATGTCTTTCTACGTTTAAGGTAGTAATAATGAGGATGACCTTACTATCTTCTTCAGTGAACTACTCCTTTACCAGTATAGCATTCCAGTTCCTTCAACTCTCACTTATCAAATCTTTGACCCACAAAAGATCACCTACTTCCTGAGCTCTCATCATTGGTTTATTGTTTTGAAAGAGAGGGACCCGACAAGGGTCCTGAAAGTTTGTGCCCCTTCTATTTCTGACCTCAATTCTAGCACATTCGCTGAAGACATACAACACTTTCAACAAAGTGCTCCACATCCAAGAAACTCCTTGATGTTTCTTAGCTTAAAAATGAAGGAGTTAGAGTAATACATGTTCTTTACCACTCTATTAACAAGAAGATTAGGTTGAGTTGTTAATCTCCAGAGCTGCTTCAGGATGAGTGTTTCATTAAAAATTTTGATATCCCTGAAACCCAAACCACCTTTGATCTTAGGAACAACAATGTAGTCTCACCTTGTCCAATTTATACCTCTACCTTGGTCACCACCCTTGCTCCACCAGAATTGATTGCACAATAGTGAAATATCTTTGCAAAGACCTGCAGGAAGCATAAAATATGACATAGCAAATACTGAGAGTGCATTCAGAACAACCTTTGTCGGAACCAACTTGTGAGCCTTAGATAATAGCTTCTTCTTCCAATTTCCTATCATGCCCTTCACTGTTTGAAGAATAAGGTCAAAAGCATCTTTTCTGTATTTACCCATCTCTAGTGGATGACTCGAGAATTTAGTTCAACAATAAGCCTGGATGCCATACAAAATTCCACTTATAAGGACTTGGTTTGGTAGTGAAGTATTCTTGATGGAGAAAATTGAGGATTTGGCCAGATTCACCTTATGCCTTGTAAACCCTCGGTATTTATTCAAAATGTTTTGTAATAACATAGCATGGTTAGGTTCAGCCTTGCAAAATACAAGTGAGTCATTTACATACAGGAGATGAGTGAGAGTAAGGCCCCCTCTGTTTACTCTGAACCCCTCAAACACTCCCTTCTCTACTTCAGATTTGATAAAACATGACAACATCTATGAGACTACAATAAACAGAAATGGAGATAGTGGATCTCCCTGTCTTAATCCTCTAGTAGGAACTATGAGCTCTGATTTCTGTCCATTACCATAAAAGCAAGGAAAACTGAAGATATACCTGTCATTATCCATTTTAAAAAGATCCTATGAGAACCCATCCTCATCAATATAGCAAACACACTGTGCCACTCAATCCTGTCATAAGCCTTCATCATGTCTCGTTATAAGTTTATAACACAATTGGTCCCTGATCTATGCCTATTAAGATAATAAAATACTTCTTAAGCTATGATGACATTATCAAGTAACATTTTCTTAGGGATAAAATAAGACTGAGGCCCACTGACAAAGGTATCCAAACATTTCTTCAATCTTAAAGCCAGGATTTTATAGATAATCTTATAGACAACTCCACACAAACTAATTGGCCTGAAGTGGCTTAGGGTCACATGTTTGACTCATTAAGGAGTCAAGGTGATCAGAATTTAGTTCTAATATCTCAACAACTGACCCGAGTAAAAAAAAAAAAAAAGCTTTTAATGCGAAGCATAAGTCATTCTTAATAACAGGCCAGAAGTGTTGGTAAAAAAGTGCAGTTATATCGTCTTCTCCAGGTGCTTTGCAAGGATTCAGACTGAAAAGAGAGTGCTTTATTTCTTCTTCCTCCACCCCAGTTATCAGCTCCTCACTCATAGTTGTGCTTATGTTTTGAGGAATCAGACTGAGATCCTCCACATCCCCCGAGCTCCATTCAGAAGTGTACAACTTATGGTCAAAATCATGCACATGGGCCTCCAGCTCCTCTCTAGACTCACAGATCAAGTTGTTATAAGTAATGAGTCTTGTTATGGCATTGCTTCTCCTTATATGCATAGTGTAAGCATAGAAGAGCTTGGTATTTTGGTCTCTTTTCTTCAGCCAATCCTCTAGCCTTCTGTTGCCAGTATTGCTCCTCTAAGGCTTGTGTCTCCTTCAACTCTTTTTGTAGCTTATTTAATTCTTGCTAGTTTATGTCCCCATCTGTCTGTCTCATGTTCTCCATAGAGAGTGTAAGCTCCTTTATTTTATCTATGTTTTCTTCCCTAAATAGCCTGCTCTAAATTAGCAAGATCACTCTATTTTTTTTTTCTCCTTAAGACTGAACATAGGAGCACTGATGTAGGGAAGCGTACGAGTGGGGAAAGATAAACGAGATACTCTCTCGATAAAAGACACAATCAATTCATATTTTCATTCAATAATCAACGGAGCAAAATAAACTAGACGAAGTCCATTATATAAGGACCCTAATCCTAAACCTAACTTAATCACCAAGAAAGCTAAACCTAACTTAATCACTAATAATAATAATAATAATAATAATAATAATAATAATAATAATAATAATAATAATAATAATAATAATAATAATAATAATAATAATAATAATTCTGCACCATTCTCCCATGGTTGAGCAGGATTGGCCCTCGAATCCGACACATTCCCACTGGAGACATCCCCATGACAGGAATAGCCCTGGCGCTTCCCCCGATCGAACAAAAATGTTGAAGGTCGTCTAACAACCCCGAAGGTAAACATAAACTTGGGCAATGATTGATCTGCTGCAAAGGCACAAGTAAACACCTCC